CAACTCTATTTAAAGATGTAACTAAATCTAAGAATGATCAGCTATTACATACCGGTATATGCTACTAGCATATACAGCATTTTATGCGAAATGAATTTGAACTACCCTATATATATATATTGGATTCCGAAACTTCATAAAAATCCTTACAAAGATACATTGCGGGTTCCAGTAAATGTTCAACCAAGCCTCTTTCGTTACTCCTCACTAAGATATTGACAGTAGTGAAGGAAAAACTTCAAGAGTACTGTGTAACAATGTATTCAAGAAGTGGTGTGAATCCGATGTGGATACTCAAAAATTCCAAAGAACTTTTGGACAATTTGAAATCACAACAATCTGATTAAAATCAGATCCTTTGATCCGCTCACAAGTGTACCGATCTATTGAGCGGATCAAAGGATCTGATTTTAATCAGATTGAAATCACAAGAATTTACCAAAACCAACAGCTTAAAAACTTACGACTTTTCAACTTTATACACAACCATTCCCCACGATAAATTAAAGTCCAGTAGCCTTTTTCACAAAAATTCTTACGACTAAGATTAAAATTTGACAGCGCTGATATTTCTTTGGTTAATAAAGAAAATTATTATTTCAGACGAATAATTCACAGTTTACTGTAATGTAATAGAAATATAAGATTTTTTGTAACCTACTACAATTTAGGTACATATAGAAGAATTGGAAAAAAATAATCTTAGTCGTAAGATTTTTTGTGAAAAGGGCTACTGGCTTTTTGATGTCATTGATAGCTGCCTTTTCAATGAAAATGGAACTCGTAACGAACTATATGCGGTATTAACCAACATTTGCCCCCCAAAATCAAACTTTGATGGAGTAATATTTAATTAAGTCCTTAAACAGGGGAGTATATGCTGACTTCAAAGCACTGAATAATTTCATAAGTAATGACGTCATATGTACGTAATGACGTCACAAATATGACGTAAATTTCAGTTTTTTATGAATTTTGCAGAAAAATGTACATATTTCGTCGATATTTTAAATAAAAGTCACCGAGCGCATGTGTGTTCAGGATAAATATTTTGATATAATGTGTAGAATGATAATATCAATGAAATATGTCAATATTGTTCCTGAACACACATGCGCTCTATAAATTTTAAAGCTAAAATTGTTGAAATTTTGTCCATTTTGTCTCTTTCTGAAAAAGGATATAAAATCGGACTAGTTTGTGACGTCATAAAAACAGAACTTGTGAATACACTGCTCTGGAACTATAATATTTTCTGTTAACTTATATTTCTCGTACAATTTATTGAATTCAGCACATTTCAGGAAGTTTTCAAAATTTGACTTTTGTGGGGGCAAACATATGCAATATTTTACTTACCTGGTCATTGGTCATTTGCAAAATTGATTTTTAAAACACATTCTGATTGCACACAGAAGTACTCTGAAGTTGACATCAAAAAGATGCTTGATTTCTGATTGACAATATCTATGTGGAGACCAGGTATTCCAACAATCTATTGGAATTCCAATGGGTACCAATTGCGCCCCGTTATTAGCAGACCTATTTTTATATTCATATGAAGCAGAATTTGTACAAAATCTTATGTGTGAAAAGAAGAAAACACATGCTGTGGCCTTCAACTCGACTTTACGATATATCGACGACGTATTGTCAATTAACAAAGGTCATTTCCATTCCTACGTCGATACAATATAACCTGGTGAGCCTGAGATAAAAAATACCACAGAGTCTAACACATCTGTTTCATACTTGGATATTTTACTTGAAAAAGGCGTTAAAGGTAATCTAACAACCAAGTTAAGGTGTGACCGGTCAGCAGGGGATGCTCACTCCTCCATGGCACCTGATCCCACCTCTGATGTTTCGGAGGTCCGTGTTTGCTCTGCCCTTATTTTGTATTGTTTTATGGACTTTGAGATTGATTACTGTTCGTTATCCATATCCTTCTTATTATAAACGTGATTACTTTAAAATTTTCTATCGTCAACTTCCCTTACTTATGCAGCAATATACCTTTATCACCTGCATACGCAGTGTACATATTTCAGTTGATTCGATACGCAAGAGCATGCTCTACGTATGGACAATTTCTAAAACGAGGTAAATTATTGACGAGCAAGTTGATGAAACAAGAATATCAACAGTCTCGTTTAAACTCACCATTTCGTAAATTCTATGGTCGATACAATGACCTTGTCAGCAAGTACAATTATCGTTGAGACAAATGCTGACTGACGTTCTTCATACTAATTGTTAGTCCATTATTTACACACTGAATTGACGACGGATTTTTCCGTTATTTCCCGATCATGACAAGGAGCACACGGCGGGTGTGACCGGTTAGCAGGGGATGCTCACTCCTCCAAGGCACCTGATCCCACCTCTGATGTTTCGGAGGTCCGTGTTTGCTCTGCTCCTATTTTGTAATGTTTTATGGACTTTGATATTGAATAATGTTCGTTATCTCCATATCCTTCATGCAAAAAAATCTAGCATGATAGTTCATAAATCCACGAAAAAACATCCACACATAGTACATGTGTAAGACTGCGATAAAGTCTGTCAATCAAATATGTGTCGGACTATGTAATATCTTTTCTCTCAAGCTTACAAGGATAATTATATGGTATCGACATATCGGTATGGAAATTACCATTGTTAATTGACAATTAGTACGTCATCGATATATCTAAATGTCGAGTTAAAGGCCAGAGCAAGTGGTTTTTTTTTCAGGATAAGATTTTGCACAAATTCTGCTTCATATGAATAAAGCAATAGGTCTTCTAATAACGGGGCGCAATTGGTATCCATGGGAATTCCAATAGATTGTTGAAAGACTTTGTCACCAATAAAGCCATAGATATTGTCAATAAGAAACTAAAGCATCTTTTTGATGACAACTTCAGAGTACTTGTTTGTATAATCAGAATGTTTTTTAACAAAATAATTTTGCAAATGACCAATGACAAGGTAAGCAAATTTACGAGTTCCATTTTTATTGTAAAAGCAACTGTCAAATGAATGATATCAAAAAGCCGGGACTTTCATTTATCGTGCTCACTTTTTATATTATTTTTATTGTAATATCAAGAGTTTTTCATTTTACTATGCAGTTAGGATATGTTTTTTTTATTATACCAGCGGTCCTTAAGGTGAAGAAGCAATGCCAATTTTTTTCCAAAATTAAATGCAACATTTTTGCTGTTCATTAAATATGTAGTATTTTTCACTTTATTCATATTATGCATCTAATGTGGAATCCAAATAGGGCCGATGCTTATAGTCGCATTATATTATTTTTTACAATGACATGATAGTACTTTAATGTCCGGTCCCTTTGTTGTTCTGAATATTTTTCCAACGATATTGAAAACTAATTAACGTGACCGAATTGCCTGAGGCCAACGACCAAGAGAAAAATATCGCAAATACTAGTAGCTACTTCCAGCACCTTGAGGTAAATTACTGGGGTCTATTGAATGAACTGTGCATTATAATTCTTCTTCACTCATTGTTTTGAATAAGGACGCATTGTGATTTTACTGTGTAAATAGTTTGATATCGCAGTTAATAGCTTATAGATGAAATCCGAGAGTTATGTATGGATTGACCGTTAATTATCCATAAATTAGGTCTATGGTTAATGAAAAAAAATCAATTATAGTACTTAATAATTTAGTAAAATAAGTGCAATTAAATGCTAGAAATCTTATCAGAGGTACTTCATATAGTTAAGGCAATGGTGTAGACAACTATATCTTCGTGACACCTTATTTTTGCAAGTTTTCTATTATTTTTTCTTTAATTAGCGAGACAAAATTTCAGCAAGCCTTAGTTTCTATTGTTTATACTGTAATCCTTTATACATGTAATACAAATATTCGCGAGAATAAAATTTTTGCGAGCTGACAAACTCATGTACTTACGTTGCAAAATGAACAATTTGTGACTTACAGTATAAGAAGTAAAGAAATAATTAAAACAAACCTCAAGATTAAAAAATGGTCATATTTTTTTGTGAAATAAATCTGTGGTAGTGTATTCAAAAGATGAAAATTTGTGGACTACATATATTAGAAAACACCATTAAGAGTTGGTAAGTGTAATATTCGTTTATTAATAATGTAATTATTGTAATTATTTTTAAAGATTCGGCGTTTCAAATTTTTCAAAAATAAAAATTACTTAAATAAAATATTACATGAAAATAAAATACATAAAAACTTCCGTGCTAGATTTCAAGTCATTTTATAAAAAGCTATTCATCTATTTGGTTCTGATCAGGGGAAAAGTAAAATGTGTACTTCTCCAAACTGATCTTCCAAATTTATAAAAATTCATATACACTTCAATTCATACAATTCATATACATTGCTACTTAATCTCGACAAGGGGTATAATTTACCTGGTAAAAACGATAGCATTAAATAAACTACCGTGCTAGCTTTGAACAAGAAAAATATTTATTATGAGTGCACGCATTAAACGTTTCCACGTTAGTGTGTCAATTTCAGAATTCATTGTGCTGTGATCGAGAAAAGGGGCCGTTAATTGCTCCCGAACGAATGGAATACATTTCATTTTCAATACAATTGATTGCAAGGACGCACCTAAAATCGACCAGTAGCTTTAAAGTATTCTACTAATTCCTCTGCATATTTAATGTCATACTAGTACTACAAGATCATCCACGTGAGAAACGATTTTCAGTCCAAACAATGATACTCATTAATACATTCTGTTTGTAAATAATTGACTTAGCGCGTTCATTTAACAAATTAACTGGAAATGTGTATAAATGTTAGAAGTGATTGAATATAGACTAAAAGGATACAGTAGGATTCTGATTCCATCTCTTTTAATCATTTAAGCCCGTACATTGTAAGCTCTTTAAAGTATTTACATAAGGGCTAATACTTAAAGGACATTAATATTGAAAATAGTTTTACCAGTAATTACTGTTTCCATTATACCCGAGATTTTTCACGGCCCCAACACTTAAATAGAACTGAAAGAACAGGGGGAATTAGGTTCAACTGATTAAGTTATCGACTGAATAAGTCGAGTTCAGAAGATTTGGTCAAATCAAGAGTGTTGTGCAATGGGGAACATTTGTTTCTACACAAGATTACTTACGTGTTTGTGTATTGTTTACTCCACGTATTCTTACAATGTGACCGACGAGGATCTTCTTTTCAAGGACCTTTTTACGAACTACAACAAAGAACTCCGTGCTGGAAATGATCGGAACTATCCACTGAACGTGTCCATGTCTTTTTATCTTTTTGCACTAAAAGAATTTGACGAGGCAACCAGCAAATTTACGGTTAATGGTGTGTTTGTGACCTCATGGCGAGATGAACGACTAGCATGGGATCCTTCTAACTATAACAATATAACTAGAACCCTTATGTCTCAGGACAAGATATGGCTACCGAATTTAGTGATCACGAATCCCTTTGAAGACATATATGGATTGGGAAGTGATCTTGTTAAAGTATATCTGTATTATGACGGATCCTGCATATGGACAACCATGCAATCTTTTGAAGTCATTTGTGACGCAGACGTCACAAATTACCCTTTCGATAGACAGTACTGCTCCCTCCAATTTGTTTCCTACGGTTATGGAGAAGAATGGATGAATATAACCTTTACAAACTCCAAGGTTATTCTAACACAATATCAAGAAAGTGGATTATGGGATATCGAGGACACGACAGCGTATTCTCATATAACCAGTGCTCTGACTGGAGTTACAATAGGACTGTACCTAAAGCGGAGGTTTACATACTACATAGCTGGCCTTGTCTTACCAATGACAATAGTGGCAATTTTACAGTCATTTGTTTTCATGCTTCCGAATGATTCAGGTGAGCGAGTAGGTTTTTCTGTGACAGTTCTCCTTGCCAGTGTGGTTTTCCTGACAATTATTCAAGATAAACTTCCGGAGTCCTCTGAACCAAACATATCTATACTGGGCTTCCTCCTATTCGGTTATGTTTCTTTAGGAGTAATTGTTACGTTATGTGTAATTCTCAGTTCAAATTTTCACATTTTTGAAGAATCGAAACCTGTGCCAAAGTGGTTGAGGATTTCTCTTTGCTTAAAAACAAACAAAATTGATGAAGATTATTCAACCGGAAGTACGATACGGGTTGCTTCTAAAGAGGAGTCCAGGGACGACGAAGCAATATCCTGCTCGTGGAAAGATGTAGCGAAAGCCTTCGATAGACGCTGCTTCATCTCCTCATTGTCTCTGTATGGACTTCAATTTCTCATCTATTTCGCCATGGTCTTATGACTTCTAACAAACTACATGTTTATGTAGAAGCAGTTTCTTTTTATGTTAAATTGTTGTATCTATATATTAAATATTTGGTGCAAAATCTATCAACCCACTTGATAGGAACTTGTAGACAAGTTGAAAAAAAATGTTTTTATTAGTCTTGCACATGAAAAGTAAAATGAAATAAAAATTATTTTCTCTTGATTTATTGGTACATTATTTAACTTTATTTTAAAGGAAGAATAGTGCAGTAAATACCCGCACATATATTTTCAACAACCAGTGAGTTTTCTTTCGAAATCCTCATTTAAACATTTCTTGAGAGTTGCAGATTAGATATGGTATTAAACATGCATCTAACCAAATCGAAAAGATAGAGGGAAAGAGAGATATTGTCAATTAACGTATTGTTACCAAACATGTGGAACTAAAAGTCCATTCAAACAACACAAAATAGGAGCAAACACGGACCTCTAAAACATCAGAGGTTGGATCGGGTACCATGAAGGAATGGCATTTCCTACCGATCGGTCATACCAGCCGTGCGCTCCTTGTCATGATCGGAAAATAACAGGAAATACCGTCAACATTGTAGAAATAATTGCTTTAAAATAAGTATGAAAAACTTCAGTCAACGTTTGTCTTAATGACAGATTGTATTTGCTGACAAGGTCATTGTATCGACAGTAGAACTTGCAAAATGATTACTTTAAACGAGACTGTGCTTATATTGTTTCTAATTTGATTTTTTGCCTAAAGCTTGCCTCTTTTTAGAAATTGTTTATATAGAGGATACTCTTGCGTATCGAAATAACTGCGAGACAAACTTCATATGCAGGTGATAAGGATACATGTATATTCAAATTGTTGCACAGGTATTACGGGAAGTTAACGATTGAAAAATTGAAGTCATAACGTTAGGCCTAATCATAAACCTTTAATAATAGGTTACCATTAACGCCCTTCTTTAGGTCACCTGAGTAAACTCAGGTGACCTATTGCTATCCGTTTTTTTCCGGCGTCGTGTCGTGCGCCGTGCGTTAATATTTGAACATTTTCATCTTCTTCTCTGCAACCGCTCAACCAATTTCAACCAATTTTTGGCACAAAGCATCTGTGAGTAAAGGGGAACAAAAATTGTGAATTACATGTTCCCTTCCCCTCCCCCTTCGGTCTGAGGGATGGGTCCAAAACCACTAAAATAAATGCAATCTTTTAAAATCTTCTTCTTTACTCCTGGACATCAAGCAGTCAAACTGTTGGCATGATTGAAATCAGCATTAAGTCCTCTACCGAAATTGTGAAATTCATGGCCCCAGGGTCAGGGGTTCTAGTGCTAGGGTAGGGCTAAATAGATTATATAGTGAAAATGCATTATTTCTTTGAAAATCTTCTCTGTTCCTGGGCATTAAATAAATTAACCAAGTGCATAGTTATGTTGAAAAAGACTGCCTCTTTCAAAATTGTGAATCTCATGACCCCTGGGTCAGGGGTTCTGGTGTTAGGGCGGGGCTCTATTGAATATGTAGTAAAAATGCATTAATTCTTTGAAAATCTTCTCTGCTCTTGGGTATTAAAGAAACAAAATAAGTACATAGTTATAATGAGCGAGAATGCCTCTTTCAAAATTGTGAATTTTATGGCCCCTGAGTCAGGGGATCTGGTGTTAGGGCGGGGCTCTTTTGATTATATAGTGAAAATGCATCAATTCTTTTAAAAATCTTCTCTGCTCCTGGGTATTAAATAAATTAACCATGCTTATTTTGAATAAAGCTGCCTCTTTCAAAATTGTGAATTTCATGGCTTTTGTTTAAAACACAAACCAAATTCAATTAATGGAAAGTTGTTACATGATAGTCAGGTGACCTATAAGGCCCGTGGGTCTCTTGTCTAGTAAAATATCCAATTGTGAAACAAATTTGAAAGACTATCTGGTATTTTTATTTCAAGCTCACAAGGGTATTTTGCATTGACATATGAATGGAAGTAACTAATTTTTAATTGATTATACGTCGTCGATATATCTACATGTCGAAGATCAAAATAAGTATTTTCTTCTCATCTAGTACAAGATTTTGAACAAATTGTACTTCATATAAATACAGAAATACGTCTGCTAACAACGGGGTCCATTAGGTACCTATGTTGCGACAGATTGTTGGAAGATCTGGACCAAAAAACGTAGTCATGTTGCAATTGAAAAAAAAGCTTTGATTTCAAATAACTAAAAAAAAATAGATAATAATACACCCGAAAAGACACTGTTCTATTCCATGGTGTGGTGGAAAAGTGCTGGTGGGCTAGCAATTGCCCTTCAATTTCCTTTGAAAGCAAATGGTTTCAACCCTCGTCACATCATTGTGGGCATTCTTTGGGTGGAAACTCTCTTAAGGGACATGTTTTACCTGCGCTCCTCATTCGTTTAATTGCCATTATATGAAATTTAATTGGTCAGAAGACACATCATAAAACTACACCATTCAGTGAAATAAATAGTCATCGAAAAACTTACGTCTGCAAATGAGTTCCGTCATTCAGTGACCTTCAACTGGCTTTCAGTTTTCGTGTTTCGAAAATTGTCTTTGTGACTCACGTCTAGGAGCCCTTTCAAATGCTATTTCAAGTATTACTCAATATACATGTAAACCTTACTTACGTATATTAAATTCAAAGGTGTTATGTCTTTAAGGACTAGGATCAATCAATGCCAGCAGTATTTAATGCACACATTAAAGGGAATCCGCCAGACTGACACTAATCTGTATCTTTTTTAATGCATACACAATTTAGATGGATAATGCCACTCATCCATTTAATAAATTTACATAAAATTTGTGTTTTGATTATCTTTTAAAAAATGTATTTAGCGATGGAAATGTCATAATATATATGTATTTTAACTATTTATTTTAACTACTATAAGGCCCTAACAACCCAGATAAATTTTGATGGCATAATTTAATTAAGAAACTTCTATTTTTACTTATTAAAAATAATTCATGAATCACTTTTTATGCATGTATGTATTTATACTTCATTCTAATCGCAGTAAAAGTTACCAAAATAAAATGTAGCCACCAATGTAAAAATAGCTCTTTATGCCCCCATTATACAGAACTAGTAGAGTTCAAGGGTCAATAACCGTCTTTTTCGTTAGATCCATACGTTTATTGTTTAATGTTCCTTTAGAAAATTTTTCACTCATATGGAGACGCCACCACTTGCCGGTGTAGAGCTGCTTATTTTGTCCTAAACTTGGCAATCAGGACAATTAAGCAGTAAAGTATCTTTTTCATACAGACACCTACTGCGACATGGGCCGGTCACCACGTACGTCCCGCAGTGGATTCGAACCCGCAACGTTAGTTTAAGGATCAACTCCTTACTCCGCGACTTTAGAGCAGACTTTCTTACCACTGCACCAAGCGGGCAACTAGAATATGGCAACCTGTCATTCTTTTCTATTTTACTAAAATTTAAAAGAAATGTCATTTTTTATTCTACGCCAACTTTTTTCGCACAAAAAAGAAATCTTCACTCTTCTTTTTCGTCTTTGAATAACTTTAAAAAAGAATTAATATATCACAAATTTGAGATTATTTTTTTTAATCGTTTGTCTGTTGCGATACTTTCAAAAATATTCGTCATTTAAAATATCCTCTCTTTGAGTAGCATTTGTATTACACACATATTAAAACATTGATATATACGTTATATACACGGAAATTTCATCAAAAAGAGCAAGTACAAAACACAAGTAGAGGAAGCACCTTTGACGGATACTTTCTTTTAAACCAAACTTGTCTTAACGCATACCCTATATCTGTTCAGTACTTTTTTCAATTGTTATCTTGGAGGAAAAAAACAACAACACTTTTTCACTTCATCCTTTTAATTGCAGACCAAAAGGGACGGACAAATCCCATCTCCATTATGACTACAATACTAAAGATTAAGAACACCAGTTCTTTGCTGTCAAGAGTTAGCAATATTTCCAGGGAGGTCCCTGATATATTTCTCAATCCATTTCAAGCAATGTACTGAATGCCGTGAGGTTTGACAGAGGTGGGGCTAAACATGATCGGTTTAGGTTTTTCTTCCTCGTCATTCTCCGTGTCAACAAAGTCAGCCTTGTTTCTGATGCAGCAATTCCACAGCATGCAGATCAGCGCCATTATTACACCAAACGTACACAACCCCACGGCGATCCCGATAATACCGAACCGAGCAGGAGGCACCGACTCCTCAAACGTCTGCAATGATAAAATGATTTAACGTTTCATACGTAGTCATACATTTAGGATGATCTGAATAGACATCGAACTCGAGTATAAAGTCGTACAATTTGCTTAAAGGACCCTAAAATCTCGGTAGTGGAAATAAGCGGTGTCAAAAGCTCAGCTCTCTCTTTAATTTCATGAATGATGATCAATTAATGATTGTGTCCTATAGGATCAGTTTCATAATATAAGACTTAATTCATTGACGGGCTCAAACTATAAACGGAATAAATACTTCTTCCTACATTGTTATCACAAACGGCGGACGGAATCAATTTTAATGTCGGCAAAATATAGATTATTATTCATTCATCAGTAATACGATACCTTTCCATTTTTCCCTATGGCCTTTCCATCTTGACTGTACTCGACGAACCACCATGGTTTGGTGGTGGTGGGTGGTTCTGTATTCGAGGTGGTAGGGGGAGAAGTGGTGGTGGTAGTGGTAATAGTTGTAGTGGTGGTAGGAGTAGGAGTGGTGGTGGTGGTAGTGGTGGTGGTAGTAGGAGTGGTACTTTGTATTGTAAATTGATCTAAGGAATAAACGGTCCTTAATGGGTTTGATACGATAACATACTTCTGCATTTTCTCAGTTATTGTAATCCTACCTACGTTAGGCTACGTATCAAACTTCCAACATACTAAGAAAAAGATTTCTATATATTTATCTGTGACTTTCCGCCAAATGCAACGACTATATAATCAAAGTAATGAAAAGCAATAAGCATAAGTGGCAGTCTCCATTAAGACCAGTGAGACGTTCGCTCTCTTTATTGCGCCACACAATTGATAATTTAACGAACAAAAAAATGTTTCAATATGGATAAATATTGTACAGTATGTTTTTTTCCTGATGGTGAATACTTTAGCATAATGTTCTATCAATTCCATCATGATAAATGATTCACCTTTTGAATGACCATTTTAAGCTGTATTATTACCTTAAGATCAAATTGAAAAGCAAGAGGCCCATGGGCCACATCGCTCACCTGACTAACTTTGGCTGTTCTTTCATTTAGTAGATTTCCCGCTTTGTAATACCTATCTTGACCTTGACAATCTAAATTGGTCATGATTCAAACAACTTAGAATCTACACTACCCCAGAATACTTCCACACAAGTTTCAGCTTTTTTAGTCCAATTGTTCTTGAGAAGAAGATTCCCTATTGTTCTTGAGAAGAAGATTCCCTATTGTGGCCCCGCCCTTCCCCCGGGGGTCATGATTTGAACAATTTAGAATCTATACTACCTCAGGATGCTTCCAAATAAGTTTCAGCTTTTCTGGCCCAGTGGTTCTTGAGAAAAAATTTTAATGATCGACCCTGATAATGATAAATTTGCTTACAAGGTCAAAATTGTATCGACAATGGAACTTACGAAATGATGACTTTAAACGAGGTTGCTGATATTCTTGTTTCATAAACATGTTTGTCAATAATTTACCTCGTTTTAGAAATTATTCATATGTAGAGCATGTTCTCGCGTATCGAATCAACTGAAGTACATAGACTCTGTATGCAGGTGATGAAGGCATATTGCTGTATAAGTAAGGGAAGTTGACGATAGAAAAGTTAAAATCATCACGTTTATCATATAGCTTGGGTGTAAGATTACCATAAACGTCTTTTTCAAGTAAAATATCCAAGTATGAAACAGATATGTCAGACTTTGTGGTATCTTTATCCCAAGCTCACCAGAATGTCGTATCGACAGAAGAATGGAAATGAAAAATTGTTAATTGACAATACGTCGTCGATATATCTAAATGTCGAGTTGAAGGTCGAGCGAGACATTAAACAACAAACAAACAATGTACAATTCAATAATTTCGTAGCATTTGACCTTTTTGGATTTTTTACCTTGACAGAGGTAAGGGAATGTTTCACCACATTCCTTGTCCGTCCATTTATATGGAGCATCGCTGGCGGAATCGTAACGCTTCAGACGACCACACATACAGCCATCCGGATCTCCGGAATTCCAGGGCACCGTGTTGTAAGTAGAACCATAGGACAGGGCTGATCCGTCCTCGTGGATGTATGTCGATCCCGAATTACATTTCAGCCCATACCACACCTTCTCGTATGCTGAACCACTGAAGATAATGGCGGAAAACGCTTTTAAGTATGTGCAAGTATTAGTTGCTAACTTTTGTGTATAGAAGTCTTGTTAAATACACAGGTGTCATTGACCAATAACGAAATACATTTTATAGTCTTTTGTCACTAATGAATGTTGAAATTAATTGTTGAGAAGATATTACAATTCGTGTATATTTGAATGAACATACTCTTGAGCTCGTTTGATGTTAATATAACGACTTGCAGCTTCGCTCTTTGCTTGGGTTGTAAGTGAGGCGAGTTTCATCCCATTCCCCTCACAGGCTGATTTGGCACTACTCCACGTAATACTAGTTGTTCCTAAATGGAAACCTGTGGGAAAAATGTTATCATCATAGATTAACACATATAAAGGATGGATTAATCTCGTACATGTATCTATTATGCTTATTTTTTTTCAAAGATTTAAGAAGTCACAATGTGATGGAATCAATTATAAAATTGAGTGTATGGATTTAACCGAATTTTTAAATATTCATTCGAATGATTCGATCTGTTGATATTCGAATATAAATTTATGATTTAATTATTCGATTATGTACATTTTTGCATACTTAAAAAATGAAAATAATCTTTTGAGTTAATTTTTGGAATGACCTCTTCGCCAAGTTATTTGAGTATAATCTGTTTGGGTTGGTTTACGCATCTACTTCCTCCCCCCCTTCCCGAATTCCAGACACATTTTAAACCCAATTTGTACGAGTTTTTTTCCCTCTCAACCCTTTGTAGTCGCCTCTACTGGCGATAAACTGCCTTGATTTGAATTGTCGGGTTGCAGAAAATTCCAATTAAAGTGAGTTTATCGCTTGTAGAGACAACTATAAAGGATTGGGAGATGAATAAAATATACAAATTTATTTAAAAATTGTGTCTAGAATTATGAAGGGCAAGGTTTATATAATAAATGATTTACCAATGTTGGAAAGGGGGAAATTCTACCAAACATTGCGCAAAAATCTTGCGCCGTAAATTGCGCCCTTTCTGCATTACGGGTTTTATAGCATTATGATCATAGACTAATAATATATAAAACCATATCGCTACTGTTCTGCAGCTATGTGGGACGTGGAGACCGGTCCTTCGAATGTGACCGAATAAAGCGGTCTCGTGTGACAGTAGGTGCTGGCACGAAAAAGATTCCTCACTGCTTAATGGCCTTGAGTGCCGAGTATAATAAGTATATACTGGTACGTGGTGGCGTCTCAATATGAGTGAAACATTCTCGAGAGCCCCTGAGTACGGAAGCCCAATAATGCAAACCAAAAATAAAGAAAGACAAGAGGCCCATGGGCCTTATAGGTCACCAGAGCATCATGCAACAACTTCCCCGTGATTGAATTTGGTTCAAGTTTAAGGCTAGATGCTATGGCATTCACAATTTTGAAAGAGGCACCATTGCTCATCATAACTATACACTTAGCAATTGCTTAGTTTGGTTACTTAATACCCATAGGCAGGGTAGGGGAACAAAAATGCATTCAACTAATCAGTAATATTCATCAATAATCAGTAGTGCCCCTACCACACATGAACCCCTGACCCTGGGTCCACACATTGCACAATTTTTGAAAAGGCACCCTTGCTTATCAAAAATGTTTGATTAATATACCAAGGAGCAGATTTCAAACAATTCATTCATTTTCGTATATAAATAGAGCCCCCTTCCCCCTCTATGGTACCCCTGACCCTGGGGCCTTGAAGTTCACAATTCTGGAAGATAGGCCCATGCTCATCATAACTATATAGGTAGTTCATCTGCTTAGTACCCAGGAGCAGAGAAGAAAATTTTAAGATCTTTAATGTATTTTCACTATATAATCAATAGAGCCCCACCTTAACATCAGAACCCCTGGGGCCATAAAATTCACAATTTTGGTAGAGGCACTCTTGCTCATCATAACTATGTACTTAGTTAGTTTATTTGATACCCAGGAGCAGAGAAGATGATTTTCAAAGACTTAATGCATTTTCACTATATAATCTATATAGCCCCGCCCTTGCACTAGAACCCCAGACCCTGGGGCCATGAATTTCACAATTTTGGTAGAGGACTCAATGCTCATTATATTCATGCCAAAAGTTTGACTGCTTGATGTCCAGGAGTAAAAAAGAAGATTTTTAAAGATTTCATTAATTTTAGTGGTTTTGGCCCCACCCCTCAGGCCCCAGGGGGACGGGGACCGTAAAATTTACAATTTTTGTTCCCCTTCACCCATAGATGCTATATACCAAATTTGGTTGAAATTGGTTGAGCGGTTTTAGAGAAGAAGTTGAAAATGTTCAAATGTTAACGCACGACGGACGACGACGGACGAAAACAGATAGCAATAGGTCACCTGAGTGACTCAGGTGACCTAAAAAAAAAAGAAATTGTTAAAGAAAGAAAAACGAAATTATCAAATAAAGGAAAACGAAATTAATATATAAAGAAAAACGAAATTATTAAATAAACAGAAACGAAATTATCAAATAAAAAAAACGGAATTAATATATTAAAAAAAACGACATTATTAAAAAAAAAAACGAAATTATTAAATAGATCATTTCGTTTTTCTTTACTTAATAATTTCGTTTTTCTTTATACATTAATTTCGTTTTTCGTTATATTATTAATTTCGTTTTTCTTTATTATAATTTCGTTTTTCTTTATTTAATAATTTAGTTTTTTATTTATTTATTTTTGGTTTGCACTATTGGTCTTCTGTACCTGAGTACATTATACAACAAAAAATCAAGCAAATATACTGTGTAGTTTGAATACTACAAGTTTAATTAGTCAGAAACGAAACAGAATCCTTTTTAAAGAACGAAGTCATACCGAGAACGGTAAAACAAGGCGTGGACTTTGCCAATACTTGAAAGCACATGACGTGTACAGTGAGATCTGAGCTCACAAAATGAGGCCCCACTTCCATATGAGTACAACTGTACAATAGCAAAGTCTATCGCCCAATCTGTCTAATCAAAACAAAAAGAGGTGTACAATGGCTAATTCAGTCACTGTATGAAAGATTTCTCCTACATTTATATGCAATTACATTAACTTGAACAAGTCACTGATATTTCTTTTGTTATTCTAATACCACCTAGAACTGTTGTACGTTTTTGTCTAGCACTCCTTCGTTTCTGTTTCTCCTCATGCGTGTAAATGATCCATTCGAAATAATTGATCAATAATTTAAATTTTTGATAAAAGTTATATCCGTTTGAACTTGCACTCTCTGACCTGCATTGCCTCGAGTGAATAAAGGCACAGATAAAACAAAAAGCATATTCCACCTGACTTTTCTCACGTCCTCGAGTGAATTTGTGTTTTCATTATTTTAATGGTCAAAACTCGGTCTATTTTTCAGGTCACTTGACCCATAAGAATTCTTCATTCCTGAACATCTTGCATTAAATATGTTTGCATTATCATATTGAAACACCCAACCCTAAACAAATAATTAAATGAACTAATAAAATCCATTTACCTCTGGCGATTGATTCGATCAGTCCCTGTGGTGGGGTGTTGCTAAAACGCGGAACGGAAAACGGAACGGAAAGCGGAACGGAACGGAAAACGGAAAATTTTTGTCAAACAAATAACATAGATTCGATATAAATCAGATAAAAGAGCAATATTCTTGTTGTAAAAATCATTTCTGATTAAAATTTATTGTAAACTATTATATATTCATGAATCATACACACCCTCCGTGGAAAAAATGGTACTGAAAGAAATTCGACCCCCCCCCCCCCCCCACACACACACACACGAAATACGATTTTCGTGTTCGGGCAAAGGTCATATCCCCCTTTTTTGGCTTGTCAAATTTGTTGTAGGTTGGAAAATTTTTACTGACCCCCTCCCCCTCAATTTGTTTCCAATGTCAATGTCTGTGAACTAGTTATGATAATCAGATTATGCACGCAGTGTCGAATTCGCGAATCATGAAAGGGGGAGTGGCAGTTTCGGGTCTGTGAAGGGGCCCACAGTCACATTAAAATTTGATTTATTAAAACTTATGTATATTTTGGACACAAAAAGGGGGCATACATATTACAACTTCTCAGACCTTTCCGATGAGCGGGAAAACAAACTCATTTTTTACGGGGCCATTCATATACACCTAGCCTACCCCCAAACATACACACATATGTACCTCAAACAAACAAAATTTCACTTCATCGAATGCTAAGATTCCGCATTATATCTACAACATGAAAGTTTTCCAATTTTGTCTATCCATAATTTAAATATATAGAAATCGACTCTATTTTGAATAAAATTTTTTACAACCAGTGTGTATAAGAGATGTTTATTCGAGCTTGCCGTAAAGGTTTGTCCCAAACGTAATCTTAATAATTTTTTTTTTACATTTTATTTCTCTTTTCATGGTCCATCTAGATATCAAATATTTGACCCCCCCCCCCCAGTCATAACCTTTTTACTATATTCAAGTTGACATCCTCACACTTTTTGTGAATGTAATTATTGTAGTAAGTTAGTGTAAAAAAAATAGCACTGAAAGATGTTGGACTGGAGTTGGAACTTATTCCCCCTCCCGAATCAAACAATTGTTTCTTTTCGTGTTTTTGCCTGTCAAATACTTTTTCAAGTTCGTTTATCCCCCCTTTCAAATTCGATTCTAGGTGACTGCTATGTTAGCGATTTTCGTTAAAAAGAGACTGGGCATGACAAAATCAATTTGTATTTAATAGTGGGGGATTGAATATGTACAAGATATATTGTGTAAATGATAAATTTTGTATTTTAAGTGATTTAATCCAAAATAATATATTCCGTTTTCCGTTCCGTTCCGCTTTCCGTTCCGTTTTCCGTTCCGCGTTTTAGCAACACCCCCTGTGGTGGGAATAAATTTGTAAAATACAAGTATAGGAAAAACTACCGACTGAAAATAATTTTTTATTTATGGACATATTTGTAGGCAAATTGTCTACATGACTGCAATGTGTTCTGAACCTTTTTTTAAAAATTATATTATAACAAATCTGAAAACCCTGCTGAGTGGACTAATTGCACAGACACTTTATTGTGGTCATATATCCATAATGCATTTACATTTTAATGTTTATTAATCCTGGACATTTTTCATAATTGTTGGTCAGAGTGATTGATTTTATATGTTGTTTATCATCCCTCTCGAGAATTTTTCACTCATGTGGCCAGCACCTACTACAACACGGGACCCCGGTTTATACGGTCTTATCCGAAGAACCGGTCTCCTAGTCCTACAGTGGGATTCGAACCCGTGACCTACGGATCAACACCTTAAGTACTTCGTACTCTGACCACTGCGCCACACGGGCGACTTGGTCAGAGTGAGTCTGACAAAAAAAAAAACTAATGAAACATTGATGACCGGAAGGTCAGTAATTCATCTGGTCGAAGGAGGGATGTATTTTACATCCCAAAACCCATTACATCGTCATTACAGCCTAATAAACTCGCTTGATGTTAATTTTTGTCGGATGATAGAAAATTCAAAACAAACGAGTTCATTACTACTGCAAACCAACTTTTATACGCGACTTTATTTCGCGATATACTGGGGATAAACTAGTTTGCGACAATTAATTTTCGCGATCAAGCTTTTTTTTTTTTTTTAGATCTGTTGTTAATTGACAGAGAGACATTAAGGACCAGTTCGCGGCGAGAAATATCCGCGATGACGAGGCTCTCGCGAAAATTTCTCGCACGCTAATAAATGTTGGTTTACAGTATGTGCTTTCCGGATTTTTAACGCTTACCTTCACAAAGAAAGTCTTCTTCACTTGTACAAGACACGTCTATCCATTTAAGTTCGGACCATTCCAGTTTTACACACGCCTTGCTGACGTCAGTTGACGGCGAGCCAGTGTCTTTCCATGGGTAGGTACCGGAAGTGGCGTAAGTAAGAGCGGTCCCATCTATCCATTTAAAACTGACAGTGGCTGCCGCTATGTCGCGCTCGAGTCCAATGTACACGTGCTTTGATTTACTAAAAAAAGAGAAACATTTACAATGTTTTCCCGGAAATCAGATCCTTCGACTTATCGTAAATGGAGTTTAAAGGTTCATTGTTCCATTTACTAAAAAAAGAGAAACATTTACAATGTTTTCCCGGAAATCAGATCCTTCGACTTATCGTAAATGGAGTTTAAAGGTTCATTGTTCCTTGAAAAAAAGATTGTTTGATTGATTGTATATTGTTTAACGTCCCTCTCGAAAATTTTTCACTAGTATGGAGACGCCACCACTTGCCGGTGGAGAGCTGCAAATTTTGTCCTATACTCGGCACTCAAGGCCATTGAGCAGGGATGGATCTTTTTCGTGCCAGCACCTACTGCGACACGGGACCTCGGTTTATACGGTAATCATCCGAAGGACCGTTCTCTCCCACTGTCGGATTCGAACCCGCGACGTAAGGATTGACTCCTTACTTCGCGACTCTAGAGCAGACACTCTAACCACTGCGCCACGTGGTCGACTCTTGAAAAAAAAAAGATGTTTAAAGGAGTCTTGAATTAAAGCTTCTATGATCACTCGATCAAAATGTATATCTTTCCTAAAGAGGGGCTTGTCTAAAGTATTATTTTTACAATATCAAGTTTACATCAGTCTCTGTCACGTCTGTGATTTTGGCTGAAATCATTTATCCTGGGAAAAGTGCTCTGAATTTCCGTCGAGAATAAACTCAATACGAACCTGTACACCTACATGAGATAATGTTCGCAAATTTAAAAAAAACAAAGTTTACAGCTTCCTTAATTGGTCTTATTTTACAAATACAATGACTATTTTAATTTACGAGGGGTGATCAGAAAGTTCGCAAACTATCTCTATATCTACAAAACCACAATTCAGATTAGAATGAAATTCGGTACACACATAGCCATACGCAAGTTCTATAAATAGCATATGCTGAATAAAGTTTTTCTCTGTTTGTGACGTCACAATTTGAAAATGACGTCACTATGTAGGTCACTAGTGACGAATAATGGTTGTCTCAGTCGAACTCGTTCTACAAACGACTGTACATTTTATTGTATATCTTAGATATCCCTCTGCAGTATCATATAATAATTTGTACACAGTTTACTATGATAAATGAGTGAAGGAAGGTAGATGGTTAAAAATGATACTTGTCATTTTGCCCAATGAAAGCAATTTTGAAAAGATATGTGTTTTTAATTAAGCAATTTGCTATCAAAGACCTCCAATTTTCACTCTATAAAATAGTTGAATATTTGAACAATAATATAATTATTAAATACCTAAGATATCGTTTACTTTTGATTTTAAACATATTAAATATGATAAAAAGAAGGCTACTGTTCCCTATCCACCTTGAATAAAAATCTCTCCCGAGACACAAGATTTGTGTTTTAATATATAAATATTGCATGTTTTGAGTAATACAAACGCTAAATAAAGCAACAAAAATAAAACGAAGTTTTATCTATATAGAATAACATTAGTAGTAATGACTTTGAAAACTTCATAAGAAAATTTCATTAGCGTAAGGATTTTTGATAATCCCCTCACATACGAGGTAAAGCAGAAAAGGGAACCACGGTTGACAATGGTTTTCGGAGGGTATTAGGATTGAAAAACTCACTGTCAGAATTTATATTGATAGTTTTAAAATAATTTTTTCATCAATGTTACACTCATCAACTACATGACAAATGAACTGTTCTTGTCATAAAAATTAACTCACATGGAAAGAAATATATTAAAATCTTTCAACTTTTGAATGTTTTATACAAAAACATGTTATTAAAATCAGAGGATGATATATAAATATTACATGTGCGCGTCAACCGATAAATTCCGCGCAACTACATGCAATATTTATTATATTATACTGAATGTTTTATACAAAAACATGTTACAGTGAACCGTGCGCGCATAAATTCCGCGCAGTCGCTATTTTTAGGTCAACTCAGGTGACGTATTGCTATCTGTTTTCGTCCGTCGTGCGTCGTGTGTTAACATTTGAACATTTTCAGCTTCTTCTCTGCAACCACTGAACCAATTTCAACCAAATTTAGCACAAAGCATCTATAGGTGAAGGGGAACAAAAATTATGAATTTCATGATCCCTGCCCCCCTGGGGCCTGAGGGGTAGGGCCAAAACCACTAAAATTAATGCAATCTTTAAAAATCTTCTTCTTTACTCCTGGACATCAAGCAGTCAAACTATTTGCATGATTGTAATCAGCATTGAGTCCTCTACTAAAATTGTGAAATTCATGGCCCTGGGGTCAGGGGTTGTAGTGCTAGGGCGGGGCTAAATAAGTATATAGTGAAAATGCATTATTTCTTTGAAAATCTTCTTCTCTGCTCCTGAGTATTAAATAAACCAACTAAGTACATAGTATGATGAGCAAGAGTGCCTCTACCAACATTGTGAATTTTATGGCCCCAGGGTCGGGGGTTCTGGTGTTAGGGTGGGGCTCTATTGATTATATATAGTGAAAATACATAACTTCTTTGAAAATCTTCTCTGCTCCTAGGTATTAAATAAACCAACTAAGTACATAGTTATGATAAGCAAGAGTGCCTTTACTAAAATTGTGAATTTTATGGCCCCAGGGTCAATGGTTCTGGTGTTGGGGGGTGGGGCTCTATTGATTATATAGTGAAAATACATGATTTCTTTGAAAATCTTCTTCTCTGCTCCTAGATATTAAATAAACTATGTGCATAGTTATGATGAGCAAGAGTGCCTCAACCAAAATTGTGAATTTTATGGTCCCAGGGTCAGGGGTTCTGGTGTTAGGGCGGGGCTCTATTTTATTATATAGTAAAACTACATGAATTCTTTGAAAATCTTCTTCTCTGCTCCTGGGAATTAAATAAACTAACTAAGTACATAGTTATGATGAGCAAGAATGCCTCTTCTAAAATTAAGAATTTTATGGCCCCAGGGTCTGGGGTTCTGGTGTTAGGGTGGGGCTCTATTGATTATATAGTGAAAATACATTAAATCTTTGAAAATTTTTTCTCTGTCTCTGGGTATGAAGCAGATGAACTACCTATATAGTTATGATGAGCAAGGGCCCTAATCTTGCAGAATTGTGAATTTCAAGGCCCCAGGGTCAGGGGTGGGGGGGCTCTACTTACATGTATATACTGAAAATGAATTAATTGTTTGAAATATGCTCCTTTGTATTTATAAAACATTTATTTATTTTTTGATAGGCAATTTTAAGGGTGCCTTTTAAAAATTTGTGCAATGTGTGGACCTAATGTCAGGGGTTTATGTCACATTGTTAGGGGCACTACTGATTATTGCTGAATATTACTGATTAGTTGGAGTCACTGTGCATTTTTGTTCCCCTACCCTGCGTATGGGTATTCAGTAACCAAGCTAAGCAACTGCTAAATGTAGTTATGATGATCAATGGTGCCTCTTTCAAAATTGTGAATGCCATATAGCATCTGGCTTAAAACAAGAATCATATTCAATACACTGTAACTGGGAAGTTGTTGCATAATGCTCAGGTGACCTATAAGGCCCGTGGGCCTCTTGTTTGTAATACCATCCGTCGTCAAGCAATGTTGACTGTTGCTACGCAAGAGGGCGTGGCTTTATTATTCAGCGGGTAGTAGTGTTTTTTTATCAAATGTTTTTCGACGAATCAGATTCAAGTAATTTACATGAAAGTATAATATTTTAAAATATAATCAACATTGAAACCAAATATTGTTTCTTTCATGGAAGTTATTCAATTAGTTTGCGAACTTTTTGATCACCCCTCGTATGTAATAAATTGGGGGTTTTCCCCTAAAATATTTAAGAACATATCTATAAAAACACTTGCGATTAAAAGTTGTACATATGACAATGTTACAAGACTTCCCGTACCTCCACAAGTTCTCGTATTTGAGTAAAAATGCCTTGGCCTCCTCGTATTCTGTGAGTGTTTCCAGCACGGCCAACCTTAGTCCGAGTGCCTGACATTCTGCTTTGGCATCGGTCGGTGTAACACTGCCGTATCCGTAATAAAACCCGGAAACTGTTTACAATAATAAAATGATTCTAATATTTAAATGCTGAAAAGTAAAGGAATTTGTGTTTTAGCTCATCTACCTTAAAGTTAGCAGATATACAAATGTGTACCGCAAGTGAAGAAAATTTTTTTTTTCTCTACATATTTCATTGAAAACATTTTGTAAAATCACTGGAATGACAACATTTATTGACAGAGTTTACCAGTTCTTGATATTCACAGAAATTGTTTTGTTGGATACGAGGGTCATTCAGTATACGTCACTACACTGAGCAGATGATCTCTGCCAAGAAGATGAAAATAACAGCGGATTTGAAAACTGTGCTTTTTACATATATTGCCGAAAAACTAATATATGAGATATGATTTTATATGTAGAAAAAAATATCTGTCAAGCTGTATACTTTTCAGATAGATTCAATAATTTATAAGAAAAATAGGACAACAAAAAATATCGATGTTATGTGCCTCATGATATCTGAAAATGCTTAACTTACATTAAAAGCCATCGTTAAGAAACTAAACATTTAATCATCACAGCATTTTGTAGAATTCTGACAAAGAGAAAAAAAAATATATTTCTATCAGAAAGGTACCCTATTTTCTTACAAATGCCTCATAGAAACACGCGTTAAATGTACCAACGGTCTATTTAAAAACAAATGTTATTGAATATAAGATTTGATAAACTGGCTTGATCAATTTTGAATAGCCGTAAAATAAGATTAATTTTAAAAAATGTAGACTCAAAAGAAAAGTTGTCAATTTATTATGATAAAGAGAAGTATGGGCTCCATATATGTGTTATTAGTTTTCGTGTATTTAGAGATGTCCATTAGAACATGTACATACATCCAAATAAAGGACTAGTAATGGTTACTTTTATGTTCGAATAGCACCAAGTAAAGTTTAAACAGATTTCCTGCAACGGTAGTCCATATTCCTATTCCTGACATCGCAGTTGCATATAAGTTTAGAGAAATGAATAAGATTTTGAAGAAAAGAAAGTAAACAGAATTTTACCATTGCTCATGTTAGATAAATCTAACCCATTGCGAGATCTTTTTATTTCCAAAATTCATGAAAACAATCGAAGGAAGAGTGTACAATGTCAGAAATGTCGTAGGAAATGCATACTTAGAAATACATACTAGAAATAAAAACCAAATTTTGAAAAAAAAATATTATATGATACATAGATTTTGGCTATAAATCTCGTGAGAAAAAAAATTAATTTATTTTTCCAACCATTTTCTACAAATAAAAACCAATTTTGAAAAAAAAAATCGGTATATGATACATATATTTTGAACATGAATCTCACCGAAAGAAGTCTGCAATACAGCAACTATAAGAAGAAGGGACGGCATGTCGACCACGTCAAATGGTCTCCGGAAATTTGACTAATTTGACCGGTGCTAAAAGAAGGAAGAGAATCTGTTTTGAACTTTATGAATATAAAAAAGTGGACCAAAGAAGCCAACCAATTAATTAATTCTTGTAAAATAGTTATCAGCTTCTAAATATAACATTTTGTTAAAATCAATTTAAAAACGCACATTTTATTACTATATATGAACAAAAATCAATAAAAAAGAACAAAAATATAGAGCGAATATACTTTGTAGATACGTTAATTCAATATTTAAATTTCTTTTCTTGCAAACATTCAAATAGTCGCACAGTCAATTATGTCACGACTTTTCAATATAAAGTTAAAAAGAATAACTTTTTATGCCCCCCTCTCAACGTGTCAAGGCTAAATAACGAAGACCTTAGAATTGTTTTCTTTTAAGGATAATATCTGCATAAATATACCAAAAACAAAATAATATAATAGAGGTGTTAAGAAACTTCGATCCATGATGAAATATTTTCGAAAACTTAAAAGTAGACCTGAGTTTTTTCAGTCGGAAAAAATCACAAGATTGTACTTTAGATTTGTAGCAAGTAATTTCTAGCAGAAAATTACTCGGTTTTTTGTCCCCCCGCTTGAAAAGTGGGGAATATTAATTTGGGTTTGTCCGTCCGTCTTTCTGTCTGTCTGTAAAGCTTTCGTTTCCACACGATATCTCGAGAACCCTTTGAGCTTTTGCAATGAAATTTAGCATAGCAACTCCCTATGGACTAAAGAAGACCCCTATTGATTTTGAGATCAAAAGGTCAAAGGTCAAGGTCATAAATAAGCAAATTTTGTCTGTTATAACACTTTCGTTTCCACACGATATCTCCAGAACCATTTGAGCTATTGCAATGAAATTTTACATACCTCCCTGTGGCCTAATGAAGACCCCTATGGATTTTGAGGTCAAAAGGTCAAAGTTCAAGGTCGTAAATTTATACATTCTGTCTGTGTGTAACACTATCATTTCCGGGCGATATTTCAAGAAGATTTTGAGCTTATGCAATGTAATTTTATATCAGAACTCCCTAGGACCTCTCTCACCCCTCTCAAAGTGCCCCGCCCCGTTTGTTTTATTAGTATTTATAGTATTACATGTCGCTATTTTTAGCACAGGGGCATGAGGAGAGTTATTGCGTACAAAACAGGTTCTCGGCTGACTTTATGTTCTTATTACATCTATTAGAACTGTTTAATAAAGGCTAAATAAATCAAACACCATGGATTGTGTAAAATTTTGAGAATACCGAACATGAATATATACATGAATGTGACTTCAGTTCTGCATATACTTCACTTCACGTAAAGCGATTCCGTGGTCTAGTGGTATGTCTCTCGCTTCACATGTGAGAGGTTCCGGGATCGAATCTCGGTGGATCCTTTTTCTTTCTTTTTTTAAATACTTTTTTTTTTTTTTTTACTAAATGATAGTATTCAGAATGTGAAATGAAAAATTTATGAGGTTATAAAATCATCATTACAGTGTGATAAATATTCCATATAAAAAGAATCTTCTATACACATAATAAAGAATAAGCAATCAAATCTTTATATGCATATTGACATACATGTATTTTATTTGCTTCAGTATACATGTATACATTTAATAATTCTACAAATTCAGTGAGGGGGATCCGACTTTTTCCCTAAGCGGGGGACACGAATTCTCTGAATTAGCTTGTTTCTCATATCGTTCGCCGAAACAAGGCTTAAAACTTGCCGACTCGGCGTGCAACAATATACAATCAATCTTTCATATGAAAATATTTATGAGAATATTTAAAGGTTAATATGTAAGAAAATATAGGATTATCATATCCCCACTTGAAAATCACTGAATAATGGCTTGAAAAACCATCTTTCATCCGCAACTCCTACACCACTGAATAAATTTTTGATACTTTCACGGACTGTTTATTTCATAATGCCATTATATAATTTTGTCGGCCACGTGGCACAGTGGTCAGAGCGTCTGCTCTAGAGTCGCAGAGTAAGGATCTGATCCTTACGTCGCGGGACCGGTCCTTCGGATGAGACCATATATATAAACCGAGGTCCCGTATCGCAGTAGGTGCTGGCACGAAAGAGATCCTTCCCTGCTCAATGGCCCTGAGTGCCGAGTATAGGACAAAATTTGCAACTCTCCATCGGCAAGTGGTGGCGTCTCTATATGATTGAAAAATTGCCGAGAGGGACGTTAAACAATATACGATTAATCAATCATTGTGAAATAAAACAAAGCCCCGCAAAGTGGAGTAATAAAGCTATAAAATAGTACGGGAATTTTAAGTACATGCAAAAATTTTACCTTGGAGTAATCTATTTCCAAAAATAAACCAGAAGTCTCTGTCGAGACTGTAGCTCTACTGGTTTGTACTCAAAATAAGGGAAGAGAAAAGTAGCAGTTGGGACTTTCAACTTTACAAAAAAAAAGATGCAATAAGACTTACAACTGTAGAAGTAGCTTTTAATAAAACTTTTCAGAATTTTCTATTTTTGTTACAATGGCAACATCAATCATCAAAATCAAAAACACAAAACTGATAATTATGTATCTCAGTGAAGTCTACTTGCATGCCAAATAATATTATAATCAGACTAAAACTGTATTTGGAGTAGCATTTTGAAAGTATTTCCCAGAAATTTCTAGTTTTAGTAACCAAGGCCAAATTGTTCATCGATAACAAAAACCGATATACTGAATTATGTATCTTAGTCACCGGTTAGAACGGTGCATTCGGGGTGGCGGTGGGGCGTGACTCGGGGTGGCAGCACCGAAGCGGCGAAAAGATCATTACGATGAGTAAATGTCAATTTTTTACAAATGTTTAGACGAGTTAGATCAGAAAATTGTATTCTACAGAAGAGAGCAAATATTAATCTACCTCTTACCGTTTAAAGCAACCCATAAGACTGCTCCGTTTTCTCAAACACTCCTCCTCACTTTTCGGGGTATCAACGCTTTTGACATTTGACACAATATTCTGTTTCAAAAGTGACATCAGAAGGGGTTTTCTCTGATTTTTCAACATTAATAAAATAATACGATAGAAATTAACTTCAATCACTCTTCATAAGTCAATATATTTTACTAATTAAGCCAATTTAGGCTTCAAACTCTATGCGACGATCGGGGTGGCTGTTCCCGTGCCTTGCGGGGTGGCAGCATATCCTAGAAATAGGGATTATTTTTTCATGCAATGTTCTCCTGGCCCCTTTCGAGACAAAAAAAAAGAGTCAGATGTCATAGAAGAATAAAGATATGTCATGACACCTGATTATACTTTCCAATGTGGCTAATTCAAACTTTAAGAAGTATAATTTTTACAATTTAACGACCAGAATGAACAAGGAATGGACACTATATAATGATAGTAGTGCGCTAGCTGCAGGCATTCCTAGATTGTCACTCGCCTCATACCAGTTTCTTATAAGTTTAGTCAAGTCTGCTGAATTTTGAAACCCATTTTGTCTCATCCATTCTTCAACCTCTTGTGAAAAATGGGTCCTGGCGTTTGCAACGCTTTGCTTGTCAATCAGGTCCTCCACAAACGGCAGCGTTAGTTTTGTTTGGTTGGATCTAGCACACTTATGCCAAGCTTCCGATGAATTTCCACATATTCCTTTGGTACTGGTTCTTACCCTCAAATGTGTTAGATTCTGAGATTATGAGAACAATCAGTACTTTTTGTAAGCAGGCTTTCAGTCATTGGACTTTTTTCTGGGTAGGAAAACGTATTTTATATCTGTTTATAATCCTTCAATCGTTACTGGGCATGGAAATGGTGCGTCATTCTGCCATTCTTTCAGTTTCAGATTAAACAAATACGCAGAATAACCTATACGCAATTGTGCTTTTTGGTAGGACTTAGACTGAACTAAGCGTTTACTCAGAGTTGTTAAAGGCAAAGGATTCTTTGGCTTTGTCCTAGCTTGGTTTTGTGAATGTGCTACTGTTGACAATGGAGGTATATCTACTCCTAATCCGTTGCATAAATAAGTTACTTTCTGATCTTTGTTCCAAAATTTCTTGAAAGTTTGAAAAGTTTTTGGATTTTCACCCTTGAGTGCTTCGTATATTACATCTAAATCTGGATGTCTCATAGACTTGAACTTTTCAAAAGATAACAAATTGTTTCTTAAATCAAGTTCAGTCAGATTTGCAAATTTAAACGCTGTCTTGGCATTTTTCTTGAAAGACTAGCTATTTTTGCAAGTGTTTTATCTGTAAGTGTAACATTGCCGTTCTGTAATGTTTCAGAAAGTATCTGTTCAGGTGTTTCACTCAACTCTTCTGGTGCGTCATTTCCATCAGTAAGCTTAATCATATCTTCTGTTTCCATCCCTTTTTCAGAAGAGTCAGTGTCATGATTGTATAGTTTCGAAATATATCATTGGATATTGTGTTAACAACACTCTGCAAAGTAGGGTCGGAATTCTCTGGTAAAATATTGATGACTGAGTCGGGAAGCCAGTCAGAACCTCTGCTTCCAGATATTTCATTCTCATCCTCATCATTTTGGAGAAGCTGTTTTTTATTCGGAATGTTAGGCACCTCTGTTGTTCTAACAGCCAGTAGAACTTCAGCTTTACTAGTTACAGAGACTACTCCTGTTGACAACTTTCACAATGACACAGCTGTTTGGGTCATTTTCAAAAATATTCAATAACTTCCTAATTAGTTCTTGTTTTGACATGGATTTTGTGCTATTCCAACATCTCGTTGTAACTGATAGATTGTTAATCCTTTGCCACGTGTGTCCCTATTCATTAGCTGAATCCACTGTCCGTCTGTAGAAAAATTCCAAATTTTTAAGCCGTGATCATTGCATTCTTTTAATACATGATCTGTTGCTCTTCGCATAGCGTTTGAAGTCAATTTATAGTCCTTCATACCATATGCTACTGGAATTGAACATGGTAGTTCCTGGTTAGAATTTGTTTTTGTTAGTAAGAACCCATACCATG